TCTTGTTTTTTATTAACGCATAATGTTTCCTTGCATGAATGTACCAGAGTTTGTTGATCCATTCCTCTATAACTGGAGTTTTGTGTTGTTTCCATGTTTTTGCTATTATGGAAATGTCTGCAAAAATATAAGTGTGCATATGTCTGTTTGTGTTGTATTCATGATTTCTTAGGGTATGTACCCAGTAGAGAGATTGCTGGATTATAAAGTACTTGTATTTGCATGTGTTTAAGGAAGTGCCATACTGATTTCCATAGCGGTTGTACAATTCTGCAACCCCACCAGCAATGAAAGGGTGTTCCAATTTCTCCACATCTTCTCCAACATGTATTATTTTATGTTTTATTGATTTTTGCTAAAAATGTCTGTGTGAGGTGGTATCTCATTGTTGTTTTAATTTGTATTTCTCTAATTCCTAATAAACTCGAACACTTCCTCATGATTGTTGGCCACCTGTATGTCGTCTTTGGTAAATTATCTATTCCTGTCCCATGCCCATTTTTAATGGGGTTATTTGTATTTTTCTTGTTAAAATGTTGCAGCTTTCTATAGATTTTGGAGATTGGCCCTTTATCTGATGTATTATTACTGAATATTTTTCCGAATCTGTGGATTCTGTTAACTCTTTTGATGAAATCGTTTGTATGCATAACTGTTGTGTTTTCAGTAGGTACCAGTTTAAATTTTGTCTGCTCTAGTGTGAGTATTTTTAGTTATGTTCGATAAATGTGTTTATTCCTTGCCTTAAGGTCCTTTAAAAAAAAAGCAAACACAAACTCATTGCCGTGGAGTCGATGCTAACTCATAGTGACCCTATAGGACAGGGTAGAACTGTCTCTGTGAGCTTCGGAGAGTGTAACTCTTTACCAGAGTAGAAAGCCCCGTCTTTATTCCAAGGTGATGTCTAACAGCTGACCTTGTGGTCAGCAGCCTAACGTGTAACCACTTTGCAACCAGGCTCCTTAAATTTGATCCATCCTAAGTTCTTTTTTTGGACATGGTGTGAGGCATTCATTCTTTTGTAGGTGAAGATCCAGTTTTCCCTGCAACATTTGTTAAAAAGGGTATCGCTTCTCCCTTTTAATGTGTTTTAGGATTTTATAGAAAATTAGGTGTCTGTAGGTACTTGGTTGCACTTCTGGGCTCTCTATTCTAATCTATAAGTTTTCATATCTATCCTACCACTACTAGGCTGTTTTGATTATCATGGCTATCTAATAGGTTTTAAAATCAGATAATGAAAAGCCTACTACTTTGCTTTTTATTTTTATAGTGTTTTATTTATCCTTAGTTCCTTTCTTTTCTATATAATGTTGGTGATTATTTGTTCCTTTTGTTTGAAGCATTGTGGTGGGATTTGGATTGGAATTGCATTGAATTTGTAAGTATTTTTGGTAATATTGACAGTTTCACAATGTTGTATCTGCCTATCCAGAAACATGATAGCCTGTTCCATTTGTGTAAATTTGTTTTGATTTTTTTATAGGAGTGTTTTGTAGTTTTATTGAATAAGTCTTTTGTTTCTCTGATAAGACTTATTCCTGACTATTTTCTCTTTTGTGTAGTAATTATAAATAGTATTGTTCTTTTAATGTATATTTTTAGTATCATAATTTTAAAATACAAGAATCCCACTGATTTCTGCATGTTGATTTTTTAGCCTGTGTGTTGCCAAATTTTTCAATTAGCTTAAGACATTTTTTAAATTGAAACTTTGGGGTCTTCTATATATAAGATTATGTTATCTGCAAATAAAAGAGATTTTTATTTCCCCTCTGCTTATGTGAATGTCTTTAATATATTTTGATGTCTTATAGCTGTAGCTAAAACTTCCAAGATTATATTAAATAAAAAATGGTGATAAAGAGCAACCTTGTCTAGTTCCTGTTCAAAGAGAATGCTGTACAATGAAGAAGGAGATTTGGAGAAATTAAGCATTTGAATTATGGTGTGTGCAAAAGAATATTGAAAGTACTGTGGACTGATAGTAGAATAAACAAATCTGCTTTGAATGAAGTATAATCAGAAAGCTTTTTAGAAGCGAGAATAGAGGGGAGGGAGGGAAAAAAGAGGAGCTGATATCAAGGACTCAATACAAAGTAAATGTTTAGAAATTAATGATGGCAACATATTACAAATATGCTTGATACAATTGATGGATGAATTGTTATAAGAGCTGTAAGAGCCCCACATAAATTATTTTTAATAATAATAATAATTAAGAAGCATGGATGCCTAAACTTCATTTCATATATTTGGACATGTCCTTGGAGGGACTAGGGCCCTGGAAAAAGACATCATGCTTGATAACGTCAGCCAAGAATAGGAAGCCCCTCCATGAGATGGATTGAAACTGTGGCTGTAACAAAGGGTTCAAGTACAATTGTGAGGACGCCCAAGATGGGGCCTGTTTCTTTCTTTGTGCCTAGTAGATGGCTCAACTGGACTGAACAAAAACAAGTCTTTTATCTGACAATGATGAGTATGAGAAGAAAACCTTCAGAAATTGATTGTAGTGACGATTGCACAACTCTTCTTAATATGACTGAACCATTAAATTGTATGACATGTGAAATATATGCCACTAAAACTACTTTTTAAAAAAACAAGATTTTTTTTCCAAGGAGCGCTGGTGGCATTGTGCATTATTGGGCTGCTAGTCAAAAAGTCAGCAGTTCAAACCCACCAGCCACTCCACCATAGAAAGACAAGGATCTCTGCTTTGGTTAAGAGTTACAGTTTAGGAAACCCTATATAGGTTCATTGAGTCAGAATCAACTTGATGACAGTGGATTTGGTTCTTTGTAGATAATTTTCAATAAATCACAAAGTGATAATTTTGTTGTTGACTATCCATTTCTAGCAGGAAAAGACAGCTTTTCACTCCTATAGAGAAGCTTCTGATGAAATTTTAAAAGTCATTGTCTTTACATTTGTGGGCAAGGTTTTTGAAAGTTAATATTTGGTTTCTTGGGTAAGAAAATAACCTTAAAATCAAAGTAAGATGTCTGATATTAATTTTTCTCTTTGACATATCCTCCCTTCTGATCATGATTCAATTAACGTCTTTAAACAGCTAAATGTTGGTCCCCAACCATCTAAAATTTTCCAGGGTCAGTAATTAATCCGTGAGATGCTTTTAGTGTAAATTACATCCTTTCTGCTAGTTCATTTGTTTCTCTTCATTGTCACCCCAGTCAGACAAAGATCATTTCCTTAGATGGTCACTTGCATGCTTTGAAGACTTAAGACAACAAGCAGCTTAGTATCTTAAAATTAATATAAAAGATCCAAATGAAGAGAATGCATATTCCAATGATCTGAAAGGCAGGTCTGGCCCATTGACCTAGATTTTAAACCATGAGATTAAATCACAAGAAGATGCCAGAGGAATATCACTAGATCTTGAACGTGAACCTTTTCTAAAACTATGTCTCCAAATACATTCCTTTGATGTCAATCTTGTTAGATGCCATCAAGCCAGTTCCAACGCATAGGGACTGTATGTACCACAGAACTAAACACTGCCCGGTCCTGTGCTGTCTGCACAATGCTATGGCTTGGAGCAGACACACAATAGTCCTCAAAGACACATCCTTGCTTGTCAAAACTTTAAAGAGGTTCTCTGCAGCAGATTTACCTAGTGAAATGTGTCATCTGATCTCTAGACTGCTGTTTCCATGAGCATTAATTGTGGATCCAAGCAAAACAGAAACTTTTACAACATTCATTTCCCCCCCATTTTTCATGATGTTTCCTATTGGTCCAGTTGTGAGGATTTTTTATACATTAAATTGTAATCTATATTGAAGGTTACAATCCTTGATCTTCACCAGCAAGTGCTTCAAGTCCTCCTCACTTTCAGCAAGCAAGGTTTTGTCATCTGTATTTTGCAGTTTGTTAATAAACCTTCCTCCAATTATTCCCCATATAATCCGCTTCTTGACTTATTTGCTCAACATGCATATTGAAAAAGTATGGTGAGATGATACAATTCTAGTACACATATTTCCTGATTTTAAACCATGCAGTATTCCCTTGGTCTGTTTATACAAGTACTTCTTAATCCCTGTATAGGTTCTGCATGAACACAATTAAGTGTGTCAGAATTCCCATTCTTCTTAAGGCTATCCATAATTTGTTATGGTCCATAAAGTCGAATGCCTTTGCATAGTCAATAAAACACAAATAAACATCTTTCTGATATCCTTCGCTTTTAGCCAAAAGCCATATGACATCAGGAATGATATCCTTTATTCCACATTCTCTTTTAAATGCAGTCTGAATTTCTGGAAGCTCCTTACGTAGTGCTACAATCATTGTTGGATGATCTTCAGCATGTAATATCAATGATATCGTTCCATAATTTGAGCATTTTATTGAGTTAACTTTCTTTGGAATAAGCACAACTGACCAGTCAGTTGACCAAATAGCTGTCTTCCAAATTTCTTGATATAAACTACTGAGTACTTCCAATGCTTCATCAGCTTGTTGAAACATTTCCTTCCGTATTCCATCAATTTCTGAAGCCTTCTATTTGAATAATGATGCTAGTGCAGTCTAGACTTTGTCCTTCAATATCACGGGTTCTGGATCATATGCTACCTCTTAGTCAAATGATGACTAATTCCCCTTGATGCAGTGAATCTGTGTATTCTTTCCATCCACTGTGACATCTACTGTGATGTCTCCTGCATCCTACAGTATTTTGCCCATAGAATCTTCCAATATTTCATCTCAAGACTTGAACTTTTCTGGAGTCCTTTCAATTTAAGATGTGCTGAACATGTTCTTCCTTTTTTGTTTTCAAACTCCAGGTCTTTGCATATTTCATTATGAAATTTTTTCTTCTTGAGCTGCCATTTGAAATTTTCTGTTCAGCTTTTTTTTTTGACTCAGAAACTCCATTTATTAACCTCCGAATCAAAGAATTAAGGGTTCTGCATAGATGTTTAAGGACAACCGTGGGCTTGCTGCTCCCACTACTGTGTCCATCAAAGTCAACTTGCTTCCGCTTCGGCAGCCTCTGTGCCCGTCTTCTGAGAAGCTACGAGGACTTCACGTGCCCGTTTCCTTAGTAGTCTCTCGGCACCAGTGATCATCATGGGATTCAGAGGAAAAAAGCCTGACAGACCCAGGAGCTTTTCCACCAGCTTGGAGAGGTGGGCCGCGCAGCCAATCCAGTGCCGGATCCTCTCCAGGTTGAGGGCAACGATTTTCTCTCCATGGCTGTTGGGCAGCGGGTCATAGGAGCCTGGCTGTTCCACAAAACGGCCATCTCTGGGGCACTTGTTGTGAGCAGCCACGAAGCGGTCGAAAGGCCGGTTGGTACAGCCACGCAGGGCGAGGCGGACGGTTAAGTGTCCCCCATGGTAGGCCTTGCAAAGGAGGGGAGCCCTGGCCCCACGGCCTGCAGGGAGCTGTGGCGGGTCCAGGTCACTCACTGAGCTGGACCATCGTGCAAGCCGGCTGGCGTCGGGGCCGGGAGCCACTCCTCGCCGTCCGCAGGTCCCCCTCCACAGCTCCCGGCGGCACGCGGGATCCACGCGGGACACCTCACAGCCTGGGCTTCGGGTGCCAACACCCCAAACGCGGACGCCGTGGGTCCCAGTCCTGTTCAGCTTTTTTACTTCATCACTTATACCATTTGGCTTATAAAGTTTTAGAGTCTGTTCTGACATCTACTTTGTTCTTTTCTTTCTTTCCTCTCTGTTAAATAACCTTTTGCTTTCTTCATGTGTGATGTTCTTAATCTCATCCCACAGCTTGTTGGATTCTGACATTAATGTTCAATGCATTGATTTAACCTTGAGATGTTCTAGAAATGTGGAGAGACACAAGGTCTTATTTGGCTTTGGTGAACTTGTTTTAATTTTCTTCAGCTTCAACCTGAACATAAACATGAGCAATCGATGGCCTGGTTCACAGTTGGCCCTGCCTTCTTTTATATGCCAAAACTCAAACTCCTCCTTGGAAAACTGGTAAGTAATCAAGAGTTAATCTAATTTATAAGGCACTCTAATGGCACTGTGGCATAACCATTGGGTTGCGATCCACAAGGTTCAAACACACCAACCATTCCACTGGAGATGTGGACGCTGATAAAGACAAGTGTCAGAAACCCTATATTGAGTCCCTATAAGTCAGGATCAACTCCATGGCAGTAAATTTGTTTGCAAGTTTTTTGTTTGCTTTAACCTAACTTATAATATAATTATCTTTATCTGTGCTATTTCAAAGTGAGGATATAGTAGCATCATCTAGATCCTAGGCCCCCCATCTTGTCTGATCATTGAAATTACCTGGGGATCTGGTGAAAATACAGATCCTTGGTGGAAGCCAGTCAGTTAGTTAGTTGCTTTTTTGGGGGGAGTGGGGAGGACTCCATTTCCATTTCCAATATAAAGAATAAGATTCTCCAGGAGGAGCCCAGGGATTTGTCATTTCACCAGATCCCTAAGTGATTCCAATAATCAGCCAGATTTAGAAACCTAAGAGTTACATTATTAAGAGTAACATCTTATTTTTTTTAATCATTTTATTGGGGGATCATACAAGTCTTATCACAATCCATACATACATCCATTGTGTCAAGCATATTTGAACATCTGTTGCCATCATCATTCTCAAAACATATTCTTTCTTGAGCCCTTGGTATCAGCTCCTCATTTTTTCCTCCCTCCCCCCCTCCCTCACCTTTGATAATTTATAAATTATTATTATTTTTTAATGTTTTACACTGTCCGATGTCTCCCTTCACCCACTTTTCTGTTGTCCATCCCCCAGAGATGGGGTTATATGAAGATCCTCCCTCCACCCTCCAGGTATCGCCATCTTCACCACTGGTCCTGTGGGGTTCATCTGTCCAGGATTCCCTGTGTTTCCAGTTTCTATCTGTACCAGTGTACATCCTCTGGTCTAGCTGGATTCATAAGGTAGAATTGGGATCACGATGGGGGCAGGGGGGAAGAAGCATTAAAGAACTAGAGGAATGTTGTATGTTTCATCGTTGCTACACTGCATCCTGACTGGCGCCTCTTCTCCCCACGACCCTTCTGTAAGGGGAAGTAACATCTTATTTAACAGTATTTTTTATACATAGTTTAAACCAATTTCAGTAACTACTAATATCATAGCTGTTATAGAACAGCTCCCCTTTTCGACAGACAATGATGTGAGAACAGTTTAATCAATTTTTTGAGGTCCTTTGGTGTTAATCTCTCTTGCATTTCTAATTTCCTTTGGGGTAATAGAATATGTGTAGATAAATTGAAAACAATACACATTTCTTAAGTAGAACAAGTTCAATATGCAGGCAAAAAACTCTCATTCTCCAATACAATAAAAATGGAATTTAATAGCCAACAAAGGCTTGCCATAAGTTTCTATTGAAGCATAAAATTTTTCATGATGCACCCTCCTCTCAATCAAAAGGCAATTTCAAAACAAAGTTTTTCTTGATCTAAACTATGGCACTTCATTTTTATTTACCTAGGTGCAGCAAGAATGGTAATTTATCCCTCCACCTTTTAAATCTGTGAAGCTGGAAGTTTTCATAAAGAATTTCAAATTAAACTTGTGAAAGTCTCTCAAGGCCAGGAAACTAAGCCGAGAACTTGCCACCAAATTTCATTTATAGTATCCACAAGTTGGGGTAAATTCCTCTTTCTTCAATGTTCCAAAATATAAGGTTTCTGAATATGCCAAGAAATAACCTACCTTACTCACTTGTATATCTAGGAAGCTTTATAAGTCAGGTATCAAGTTTGATTTCCTGGAAGACTTTTGTAAGAACTGGCTCCATAAAGTCAATCTTACTTTCTTAAAAGTGTCTTGTAATACATGATTTTCTCTGAAAATCATTCTAAAGTATAATACTCTGCACAAAGTTTGGTTGCATAACTGAGATTTCTAATTATGCCTTGTTAACAAGGTAGAGTGAGTAGAGTGGATTTTTAACAGAGGTGACAGATTCTTATTGAAATCATTCAAACAATTATATTGCCATAAAAGTAAGAACATTTATTGAAAGTTTTCCAATTTTTGAGGCATCTAACTCACTACCATCAAGTTGACACTGACTCATAGCAACAGGGTAGAACTGCCCCTATGAGTTTCCAAGACTGTAACTGTTAATGGGAGTAGAAAGCCCGTTTTCTTCTGTTGGTGGTTTCGAACTGCTGACTTTTCAGATTATAGCCCAGTGCGTACCCACTTCACCATGAGGGTTAGGTCACAAAACAACAACACTTCAATATCTATTTAACCAAAATGACAGTAAGACTTTTTTAAGTTAAATATAAGCTTTCCAAAATTTATGAAAGTTGGTTTGCGATAGGAGCCGATAGTAGTTATACTTTGTGTTGCTAACCTCAAGGTCTGCAGTTCAAAACCACCAACCACTGTGAGAGAAAGAATTTTCTTCTCCCATAAAGAGTTACAGTCTTGGAAACAAAGAAGGGCAGTTCTACCCTGGCCTGTAGGATCACTATGAATCAGAATGGTGAATTGGGAAAGGGATCATAACTAGCATGGGTATACTATTGTAAATTAGAAAAACTCATAGAATTGATTCTGGGAACTTCTGTCCACCTTGATCAGGAATTAAGAATTATGCTACCCCTGTACCCAAATTTCTATGAAGATCACACCCAGGCAACTTCCTTTTTTATTTTTTTTTTACTATGAGATCATAGAAATGTTTATTAAACAAAGATGTCAAAATGTGAAACGACTGTCTCGACATGTGCTCCTACTAGGTCTATACACTTTTGAAGGTGATGCTTTAATCTTCTAACCCTTCCCCAAAGAATTCTGCATTCTTTGATTTACACTCATAAGTTTTGGCATTCTCAAGTGACTCAAATAATGTTTCTTTTAAATTTCCTTTGGAGTTTGGGAACAAGAATTCTGAAAAGGCTTGATCAGGCCCTGTCGGATTTCCTGATTAAATTCTTTTTTTAAATTTCTTCTTTTAATTGTTTGATTAGGGGCTCATACAACTCTTATCACAATCCATACACACATCAACTGTGTAAAGCACATTTGTACATTCATTGCCCTCATCATTCTCAAAACATTTCCTCTCCACTTAAGCCCCCGGCATTAGGTCCTCGTTTTCCCCTCCCTCTCCACTCCCCTCTCCCTCATGAGCCTTGATAATTTATAAATTATTATTTTGTCATATCTTGCCCTGTCCGACGTCTCCCTTCACCCACTTTTCTGTTGTCTGTCCCCCAGGAAGGAGGTCACATATAGTTCCTTGTAATCAGTTCCCTCTTTCCAACCAATCTCCCTCTCTCCCTCTACCCAGGCAACTTCCTAAAGGCAAGATTGCCCTCCCTGGGTTCCCCAAGAATATTGAAGCAATCCACTTACAAGCACACTCTGAGAGCAAAGCCTTTTACAACACTGGTTAATTGTCAGAAAGAACTCAATGGAAACTGAATTTATGTAGAGATTCAAAATGGATTTAGGACTCCCACTGCAGACCCTAGCCTTTCACAAATATAGGATTCAGAATTTAGGCTCTATTACCAGAAGTGGGAGGGAGGAGGAAATGAGAGGTGGCTATTCATATAACTGTTGAACTTACCTTGGAAGACCTCCTACTAGAAGAAATGGCTCTCTGATTCACCTTCCTCAGTGGGTCTCAAACGCTTATGTAGTGCACAAAGCAGTTGAAGTGGGCAGATTGGTCATGCTCAAGGACTCTGCAAGTCTAGGCCCAGAAATATTCTTTTGTAACAAGACTCCAACTGATTTTCATTCCAATTGTCTACAGATCTAAGACCACAATTGTAGGGGAAACTGATTTAATCTCTTTGCCGATTGGGGCGAGGAGGGGTAAGTGTAGCAGTTTATGACAGGACAGTCAGGTTTCATCTCAATGAAAATAACAAAAGAACAATAATAATTTCCTCCATTTTACTGTTTTTAGAATCTCCTAGCCCAGATGTCTTGGAGAAGAAAATAAAAATAGATCTTGTTGTACATTTAAAAATCTATTTGCAAAGCCTCTTCCATTATACAGGTTCTCATTCCCAAATTGCTTAAGTTCATTATTTTGTGATTATTATACAAGAGTTAATTTCTCAAAGGCCCATGTGTAGATGCCAAATATAGGATCTAGCCCTCTTGACACAGTAAGAAAGCAAGGGCTAACCCCCATCTGATCCTGCCCCAAGACTGATGCTTGTGTTCCTACCTTAATACCCTGTTTTCATATGCTACCCAGGTCAACAATTATATTTTAATTTCTCTTCTCAATTAGAAAATACAATTATTTCAAAGGTGATATGTGAATCAGATACCTCTGGTCATTATTTTTTTCTATCACATACTTTCATCCACTGAGTGTTTCCTCTGGCATTACGTTTCAGCGAAGCAATATGGCAGGGGATGGCTCTAAATGTGCCATTCTCATTTGCCCAAGGCAAGTTTAACTTAATGTATCAGAATTTTTTAAGATTATTATTGCTGACTTATAAATTCATGAA